TGTTGTCGCCTCCCATAGTGTATGTTTATGAAGCCTCTGTTGGGAATACTGGTATTACCACAATGCTGCAACCCACCTCCTGTGGTACACTTCCATCAGTAAGTATGTCTTTTGTATTTTTAGTTCTCATTTCCCCTCTTCCTTTGTTTTAGTTTAGCTGTCATTGCAATGTAAGTATACTTATTGGGGCTTAAAATAGCAAGATGCTTGCTAAATACAGAAGCTACAAGCTTTTTAAATTGTGCACCTGCATAGATAAAATTTTTCTGTCTCATCTCTAAATGCAAAACATACATCAGTGGTGACATGTATATCTGGACATCTAGATATAAAGACCAAATATCATCCATATTTTCAATATGTAATTACTTTTCACAGTGAAGTTTCACTCCTGACAGAGAGTGAGTTGGTTATAACTTAATCTGTAATTTGTACAGTTAGAGGTGACACAGGATTTTTAAGGAATATATCTCCCTTTTACTTGTGTAAGTATGGTTCTTCAGTTTTTGTTCAGTTATTAGGCTACTGGAGTGTATCTTGCATTCCTAATGAGTACTGAAGCAACTCATTATGCAATATGTGAAGAGAAAAAAAAAGTTGTTTGATATGTCTTTCCTTTTGTTTGCTGTATATATACACAGTAACTTGACTGTTTCAGGCCATTAATGTGTCTCAGTGGGATAAAACTATTTTTTCTGTAGATTGCTTAACTGTAGAATAGAACTACAGAAATGAGTTGCATTCCAAGTAACATGATAGGGTAATCTGATAGTTGATTTGCTGAGCCACAGAGACAATCTTTACTGAAAATATGTGAATGTGTAAATGTTTTATCATTTTAATTTGTAAGTAGCTCTAACTTTCACTTTTTCCTTTTCCCAGCTTTTTCCTGACAAAGGAACAGAAAAAGGAGAAAAGGTATTTTGTGTCTCCTCATTGTTTGTGGAGGTGCCTGAAAACTAGAATAAAAAACCTAGGGCATGGGTGTTTTAAAATGTAGAGTGCCACCACTAGTCTTAAAACCAGTATCTTGTACCAAAACTAAGTGCACAAATGGTGTTGGCAGGTTGATGTTGACTCTGCAGAGGACACACGGTTGATTGAGCTTGATGAGTCACAGAAGAGTGAACACACAGTGTTTATAATGCCTCCAGAACCTCCCCCTGAAGATGGACAGGACTGGGCCCCTAAGTACAGGTATAATGCAAAATGCAAGTACACTTGAATACTTAAATTAGTAAACAGGATGGATTGGGAACTTGACACTTTAAATAAAAACAAAACATGCAGGTGTTGCACCTTACTCCAACTTCTTGTCAATACTTTTCTTACCAGTGTATAAAAGGACTCTTTCAGTTTCAGTTGTGGTCTGGTTATGGAATTTTCCTAGAGCCAGTATTTTCTTTTTTTAAATGAAGCTAGGCACTCATCACTACCACTAATAATGCTATCTTCTGATCACATATTTTTCTACCTGCTTACCTACCTATCTAGTTTCTGTCTCTTCTGTTGCAGTTGGCATGCACCCTTTGCACCATCTGCAGTGATGTGTGCTTGGTTTGCTAGAGAATTAATGAATTAATCAGTGCAGTAGGAGCACTGAAATATTGTAACACACGGCTAGACTGTAGATTGTTGGTGGGTGCTGGTGGTATGTATTTCCATTCCTTAGGTCCAAAGGTTGGGGGAGCCTGCTCCAGTATTCTGACTCCACCCATTCAGCTTTGTGTAGTCATAGGGAATGGTCTGTCCATGACTACAGGATGCTTTCCCTTCTAACTCATGTTATCTTTCCACCTCTGTGGAAGTTCTGGAGGTATTAGGGGATTTGCGTTCAGCTGTTCTCTTCACTGATCATCTCCTGACTGCACCAGCCTTTGAGGTATGGAGGATTTACTGACCCTCTGGGCTCGTGGACTGAAGTAGAGCCCTTCTGCAGCCTCCTCCCAAGTTCCTCTCAGTAGAAAGAGAGAGTAGAAGGGCTTTCCCGTCCCTTTTCCTTCCTTTTTATGCACTCTTTTCTCTCATTTTATAGCGTTCTTTACAAATATGCTGTCTAACTGTAGTGTGTTTTAGGTTGACAATAAGAGGCCATTGTACCAAGTTGAAAAAATAGACGAAAACAGCTAAGTAAAGACTCGTAAATATGACACCTGATTTTTTTTTTTTTTTTATTTTATATATAGCTATAAAAACTTCCCAAGACTAGACTTGAAGATATTTGACAGGCCACAGGAGCTCAAACTTTCTTTCAACAGACACCCAGCTGGAGGCAGCATTTCAAATAGCCCAGCACTCATGGCAAAAAGAACAAAACAGGTAAGATTAACAGTTGCTGTTTCTATGTAAAATGTTGTGTAATTAGAAGTGTATGGTATGGGGTAGAACTGTTCCATTTGTTTATGTGATGGGCTCTGTGGTGGTTAAAGAATAGGTATTAGTACCTTTGTGAAACCCATGCTACACATGTGGTGGTATTGAGGAATAAAAGCAAAAAAATATGAATTTGTAACAGTTATTTCATGTCTCAAAGTTATGTTTAAGTCCAATCTTCTTTGGTATTTGTGTAACAAATAAAACAAAGGAGACTTTAATGCATTCTGAAGTAGGAAAGAGTTTATTGTAATTCCAGACTTAACTTACAAAGAACTGTTATGGTCATGTCTATGTGGCGTTCTCCAGGATGATTCATGATGATCTCCAGGATGATCCCAGCATCCCATTTTTAATATCTGTTTTAATAAATCTTCAAATTCAGGATGGTGTTTGTGTGTGTGTCTTCATATCTTTTTTTTTTTGTCATTGTTTCTACCTTAACAGGAGATAAAAACAGCCCATAAATTAGCCAAGAGGTATTACACAAACCCCCCACAGTGGGCCAAGTGTCTCTTCAGTCATTGTTACAGTCTGTGGTTTATTTGTCTGCCAGCCTATGTCAGAGTTGCCCATCTTAAGGTCAAAGCACTGCAGCAGGCATATGATGTTCTCATTAAAATGAGAAAAACTGACGTGGAACCACTTGATGAGGCAAGTACAAAAATCCTCTTTCCAGAATGGGGAACTAAGTTAGAAGGACATATCAGTTGCCAACTGTTGATATTTCATTACATGTCAAGTCTGTGCTTAGCTCCCAGCTTTTGTTTCAAGGCATTTCTGAAGTGTGTTTAAAGCTGTTCAGTTGGTTAGGAAAACTGGAAATTTAATTCTTTTTTCACCAGTGCCTTTGTCAGAGGAGAATGCTATGCCATGGGAGGTATGTTACACTCCCACAGAGGTTGACTCTGTCTCCACAACTAGTCTTCTTCCTAGGCTTATGCCAAAGAGAAGCAACTCCAGAGGCAGCCCAAAAGGCTTACTGAATTGGTGCATTTCCAGGTGCCCTGGCTGAATCCCTCATTTCTGGAGCTCTTGGCCAGCTACAGACCACCTTCCTTCACAGCAGGGTATATTACATGGGGGTCAAATGCCATTATAATCCTTGTGTCAGGGCCTGCAGCCCAACTTTTACCAGGAGTAAACTTAGAGCCCTTCTACTTATTAATTTAAAAATCTAAGTGATAAGCTGTTGTTCTTTAACACTTACCTTTAAAATTGATCAATTTAAAAATTGCTTTAACAGAAAAGGGAAACTCATTTCAAAGAGTGCAACACAACTCTCCCCTGTATATTGGAGAAGTTTGACTAAAGTAATGTTCTTTCCTATGTTTGGAATATAATGGGATTGTGGATGCACCCTTAGTGATAGATTCACTTCCTTTTCTATGTTTTTCATTAAACCTTTCCAATGAGAAGTGGGAGGTCCTTTTTGCTGAGATGCCATGGTTCAAATTTGAACATGTGTTGCTGTGGCATTTGGTTCAGATCAGGTTCGCTAAGCTAGAAAGTAATTGTATCCTACTAGTAATGTTGCACCATTTCTACGAAACTGACCTACTGAAAAGGGAGATGAGGCTGAGAAAATCCCCTTATACACAGAGTTTGATTTCAAATGCTGGTGTGAAATTTTTTGCAGAAAAAATGCTGCCTAATAAGAATTTTAGGCATGCTAATTTTGTCTATATTTTGCAAATAACATCATGTAACTCTTTTAAATAGGATTTGTCTCTGAGATTCATAACTAAATTGTTGTTATGCCTTGGCCACCGTATACTGTCAATTAATTGATTTTGGATTTTATGGGCACATCCACACATGTAGACATGTGCGCCTGCAGCAGCAAAAATAGGAGCAGCACAAATTTGAGCCAGGGATTTTTGCCTCGGTGTACATGCCTGGACATGCGCTTTTGTGTGGGGCAAGTTAAGCGGCTTGGCAAAATAACCCTGCCCAACTCCTCCCAGATCTGCAGCCAGGGGGAGGTAGAGCCTGGGGCCAGCACCTGTGCTATCCCCAGCAGTATGAAAACCTGCCCTGGTGAGCAGCTCGGGGCTACTTGCTCTCAGGAGCTTCTGGAGCCCAGCCAATTGGTATCTGGGGACACTAGCCCCTTGTGCCCTCTATACTGCTGAAGCAGCCCTAACCAAAAGTTCCCTGCACCTTCTACCTGCTGCAACAGTCTGGCAGTGGGAGCTGCTGCCTGGCTACGACCTGCTGCCACCTGTGACAACATGCAGCCCCAAAGTTGCACTCCTGCCAGACCCGGATGGGGACTGCACGGCTGGAGCAGAGGCATCTGCACCTCTTGGCCAGCTGCCAGTGGGCTGTGGCTGCACAGTTGGCCTTTGTGCAGCACTACTATCATGTGTGCTGTGCCCTGCCATGTGGACGTCTATTGCCCGGAAGGTGTTCCCAGTGTGGTGGTCTGCTTTGAACTGTCAAAGCATGTCCTCCTGGGGCCAGGAGGTCATCCACCTCCAGCTGGGTCCCCAGTGCCAGCCCTGAGCAGACTCCTCTGCCTGGGTCCTGCCACTTGCCTCACTACCAGCAGGAATTCTGGTGTTCCCTATTTTA